AGTCAGTCAGTCAGTCAGTCAGTCAGTCAGTCAGTCAGTCAGTCAGTCAGTCAGTCAGTCAGTCAGTCAGTCAGTCAGTCAGTCAGTCAGTCAGTCAGTCAGTCAGTCAGTCAGTCAGTCAGTCAGTGAACCATCTTCGCAGTCAAAATCTTTCATCCATGTGCGTTGTGCTCGTTTTCCGTTTGCATTCTCCATATTGTCCTTGTTTGACACCTCCATTTTGTCTCCTCGGATCATAAGGAGTAAAGCAGTCCACTCTTCCAGCCAGTAGCTTTTGGCATGTGGAAGAGTTTAAACTTGTGTGTCCCTACACACCTCGGACAACCCAGGCTTTAGCCACCCTAAGACCAGCTAGGGATTCGTTTTGCCTTGCCAGCTCAGAAACTACCCTATGCATGTCGACGGTCGATAATTCCGTGGATGTTCACATCTGAAGGTTCCTTGGCAAAGAACCCATGCATGTTGTGTCCATCATAATTGTCATACGATTAGATTCCAAGAATACCAGACAGGCAACAATCATTCCACAAACAATCATAAAGTACTCTAGGAAATACATTTTCAGTCTATAGAACCTATGTGCAGTGGTTTATAGTCATGATACAGCGTGCAACATTGATACCCGAATATCTTTTCATCATCCAGATGTTCCAACACAACAATCGCACCATATTCGGAGGCAAGGAGTTTGAGTCTGTTGTTATTGAATCATGCTGTCTCGCCTCCAGCTTGTGCTGTTGTGCCTTCAGCAGATCCACAACAGGTATTGATGATATCGCACCAGATCGCTACAACCGGCGCGCTCATCCTCCAAATCTAATACGAATGATCCTTCCAACGCAACAATCACGACCATCACGACAATTGCACCATTTGACATTCAATATAGAAGTCATGACAAAACAAGAAGACAATTTTTCTAAATCGATTTCTAATCTATTACTATTTCTATCAATTCCCCTCTGATATTCTATTGTATGTGCTTAGCGCCAACGCATGTAGGTGGACGTCTTCCATCTTGCAATTGATGACCTTTCTCATCCTGGACAATTGTGTGGAAATTCGTGCCAAAGTTACTCCACCCTTAATGCCGACATTAGATACACCAACCGCATTCGGTGGTAGCCACAAAAGAGTGGACAATTCCAGGCGCCGTCAAAAGCATTTAGTGGTGGTGCAATTGGAACGCTTGCAGCAGCAGCAGCATTCTCCGTGTCCATATCCAATGCTTCAGTCCCAGATGGTCCTCTGACCGCTGTGATCTATTTGATGTTTCGATGGATTTAGTTTAAATATTGTGTGTAAAGCTTTCGTTGCGAAAAGCAGATTGTCGTTGTCGTTTTCAAAAGGTTGTTGTTTGTCAAACCCTTTCGTAGGATCTGGCTTGAATCAAAGCCCTTGATGTTGTGTTGAGTGCAAGTACCTGCAGGTTCTTTTGACTGCAGTACCATGAGACTCTTTTGGATCATTGCAAAATCGAGCACACTGTTGTACTGCCATTGTGAGATCTGGGCGAATCATGGCCTGTAAATAACTAAGGCTGCCCACCACTGATCTGTAGTTCCACGGATAATCATGAGCCTTACTGTCTGGGTCCTTGTCTAATATGTTTGCACTGGAAGCTAGACTGTCGTGAGTTTTGACTTGGTCAGCAGTGAGCCCGACCATTTCTAATATTTGTTGAATCATGCGAGGCTGTTCAAGAAGAATTGATCCGTCGGGTTGTTTTGTGAAACGAGTACCAAGATAGTCTTGCTGTTCCCCATTGTCAGTCAAGTTGTATTGTTCTTGTAGGGATTTGATTTCTTTATTGATCAAAGCTTTGTTTGGGGACATGAGGCAGGCATTATCAACGTAAAGTACCAATATGATGTCCTGTTTTGTGTATCAGCAAGAATCAATGCTTGATTGTTGCCATCCACAATCGATCAATCCCTTGTGGAGAAATTCTTGACACCATGTTTGTCCCGCGTCTTTGAGTCCATATAAATTCTGCAATAACTTGTACACAAAGGTGAATCGGTTGCCTGGCCAAGGCATATCAGTAATCACAAACTCTGGAGGAACTCTTGGTGGTTGCATGAAGATGTTGGTCTTGATGGGAGCTTGCGTATATGCTAGGACAAAGTCAATTGATTCCATATGCCAGTTGTTAATGAGGGCAAAGATGACCATGAGACGTACAGTGCTCCATGACACCATGGGTGCATATGTATCCCAGTAATCAACATTCTCAATGGATCAATGGCCGCCAGCGCACAATCTAGCTTTCCACTTGACTATCTCCCCAAGGAGGTTCTTCTTTCTTTTCATCGCCCAAACCATGGGAATTGCTGTTTTGCCACTGTATGTTGGAATACTTCTGATGGGTACAACCTTCCAATGCTTTCTTCCAATGTGATCGCCAAGTTCTTTGTACATGGCTTTGATGAATTTGGCTCGGTCGTGAGCCTTCATTGCTTTGTCAAATGTCAAAGTGTCTGGATCAGCTGATCCAGCAAGTGCAAAGATTGATGCAAATGGGTGTGGCTCCTCTGAGTGATCCGCTTGTAGTAGTTCATGCCCTTGGAGCTCTTCATGGTCGAGAGCTGGTGAAAAAGTTTCTAGATATGCAGAGTTGGCGGTTGCCATTTGGTCGTTGAATATTCTTGGATTTGGTCTGGAATGTTGTCCTGATCTGGTCCTTCGTATTTCGGGTTCCTGAATTGATGCATGTTCAGATTCTTGGTTTTCTCTCGGAGGAGAGATAATTGTCTTGGGATCTTCTGTAGTGTTGAAGTCGTCGGTTAGTTCTCCAATGGTATGTTCGTCGTCCCATTGTGTGATGAATTGGGGTACGGCCGGCAGCGGAACCTCCTGTTGATTCTGATTCCTGCAAAGAGATCAGTAGATGGAAGGTCAATGACTTCCTTTGTCTTGTCTCTGTGCAACTGAGCTTTGCGTTGCCAAGATGAGGTAAAATGGACATCTCTCTTACAAGTGTCAAAAGCATCGTTGTAGATACAATGGAACTGGGGAGACACGTTGCCTGTTCTTGTGTTCAGCACTAATGGTACACTGGATGCATAATTGGGAGAGTGGCAAAGGAATATGCCTACTCGACTCTGATCCGCCCATTTGTTGTGTGAACGTTGGGCTTGTAAGCTGTCTTCAAGCCCGTACACCGGAGATCCAAAAGAATGAAAATGATCAAGATTCGGTTCCACTTCAACTTGGGCCATCTTTGATATGGGAGAGTCTTTGTATTTGGCATGTTGCTTGATGCGTCCTCTCACTTTGATTTCAGGCGTGTATTTGGTTGGAAGCAAATTCTTCAGATTAGTGTAGTTTTTGAGAGCGGCTGGCCACAGAGCCGCATGAATGGCATCCGGCCATCGATGAGCAGCATGAATGAATGCAAATTTTGCCCCATCTGTCATTTCTTTGATTTTTTTGGTGCGCATTGACACCACAGAACGTCAAACCTTGACCGGCCTCAGTAATTGAATTGCGAAAGGCCTTGGTGTCAAATAATCCATTATCAGCATGGTAATGTCGGATGGACACTCCATGAGTAGCACACTCTCGTTCAAACGCAAGTTTTGCATGAACGGTTTCCTCTGCATTCATTGCTGTCATCAAGTGTACATATGTGAAGTCGGTGAAGTGGTCAACAAATACAGTGGCTCCAACGTATCGGGCAAGCAATGGGGTGCCTTGATGAGTTGGAACAAATCCTGGGGTTGAGCTGATCAACTGATCAACGCTGACGACTTGTCCTGAATGCTTGATTTTGCGCTGCTTCTTACTGTTTCTCCAAGGCTTTTGATGCGCTTTTCCGTATGCACAACCAGGACACTTAGGTGGATCAACACTTGCCAGCTCCCTGGGAATCATTCCAGCTCGAGCCATCATCTGTAACTTTGGATATGGGAGATGTCCGTATCGTTTGTGGAGGATGAACAGTCGGAGCTGCTTTTGTCGAGTCATGGCAATGTCTGGATCAAAAGTTTTTGCTCCTTTGGCAAGGTTGGGGTCCTCAAAGGTGACTTGTCAAGGCTGTATGTCTGGCTGCTTTGTTGAGGCTCCCTCGATTGTTGATGAGTTTCCTTCAGTGGAGGCTCCCTTGATTGCCGATGAGTCTCCCTCAGTTACCAAACTTGGACTTGGTGAGCTCCCTCAGATGCTGTCTTTGGAGCTCCCTCAGAAGCTGAATCGATAGAAACAATCGTGGCTTTGGACTTGAAGTGAGTCGTCCCTGAGTACGCATGCCAGTTGTGATCGCATCCACACTTGGTAGCAGGATTGCATTCATCAGTGCTGGTACTCATGCAAAAGTTCTTGTAACCAGGCTCTGATTGGAATACAAACAAGTCTCTGTCGTCAATCTTCACATTGATTTCATGTTGCTCCTTTTGGCTTGGTGCTGTGAACGCAATCTTGTATTCGGTGTCGTTATGGCGGGGCCATTCTGGTTCCCAACCAGCGCATTTCATTGCCTTGTATACCAGTTGAGGTGGCATGATGTTGGATGGAGAAGTGGGTGCAACCACGGCATCTACTTCAATTCGATCAGTGGTGCCGGGTATTGGTAGTGACAATTTTCCAATTCCAGTAATGCTTGTTGGAGATCCATTGATTCCTTTGATTCCTCCTTTGAACAGCCGAAAATTGGTAAGCATGGTAGAGTGTCTTACAATGAATCTGTTGGCCCCAGAGTTAAAAAAAAAGCCATTCCAGGCTGTTGGTGTCAGCAATGAAACAGAACGGCTGGTTCCAAATGTCTTCTGGTTGGAAAGATGTTGATTTGGAATCAGTAGGCAATGTACTGAAGCTTGCCGAGTTCAATTGTGTTATGTTTTCGATCGAAGTTTGAATGAGCTGTTCTTGTCGGAAGTTGTCAAGGTAAGTTCTCCGAACCAACGCATGTGATGTACCAGGCATGGCGTAGACTTGTGAACGGTCAAGTAGACCAAAAAGAGTGAAAAACCAAAGGATTTTTGTCCATGAATATGATGATCGCTTGACAGTGTGTTTTGAAGTAAATCGAGCTTGCTTGATGTGATTTTGAGCATATGGGCAGCACCACTGAATGGGAATACGGACATTGGACAATGTGGCAATGGAAGAATCGTAGTATGTAACTTGGGCATCTCAAAAGGAGACAGAAAATAGAGGGCTGATGCGAGGTGAAAGGGGTCCAAGGTATGAATTCTCCCTCTCTATCCATCGCACAGGGAGCCAAAATGGAAGGTAGTAGTACCAAAAAGTATTGAGGGCCAGGTAGGCCAAGTGGGTAAAGTGGGAAAGGTAGCGGAAGGACCAAAAGAGTCGATGTACGACAAGGGAATAAAATAGGAGGCCAAAGATGTCGGCAAGAGGCCAGGGCAAAGGTGTACAGAGAATGCAGAGATAAACTGAGCAAACTAGATTACGAATGCGCTGGCATACCCATCAGTTCTGTTTTGCGGCTTCCGTCATGGCTTGACCAAGACAAGTCATCAGCGCTTCATCTCCAAAGTCAGAAACCATGCCCATAGCATCAGCAAGCAGTGCTTGTAAGGAAGAATTGTCGTGAGGAGCAGTAATGCTATTGCCAGTGGCAGCGGTACCATCCTTTGTAGCTAGCAACCATTTGTCACAAGTTTTGCAGTCTCTTGTTGGGTGTGTGTGCCACTTGTTCTTGTCTCAATGAGTTGGGCAGTCGCAAAAATGCCATGTGGTTCCCTTGAAATCTTTGGTATCACCAACAATGTACGGGCGTTGCCTTCAGACTCTGGTTTCTTGAAGTGCTTAATAATATGGAGGGAGCAACTTGCTTGATGGCGCAGTGGGGTCACGACCGGGCTTCTTGGCAGGCGGCTTGTTGTCTACCTTCTTGTTGTTCTTTGCATCAAAATACTTCTTGGCGTCTGCGGTCATAGCGACCACGTCTTTGGTTAGAGTAGTGGACTTCCAAGCATGGCTTTGGCTCTTGTCAACGTTAAGTCGATTTGCCTTTCTGGCTGCGTCTTGCATCAAAGTGGGATAAAGGCTGGCGCCTCCAGCAGGGGCACTCAGTCGGCCTTCTTCAAAGTCAGTGATCTTCTGGTGTACCCACGAGAACCAAGCATGAGGCTGTTTGAACTGTAGACTATGAGGAGCAGTTGGATGCATTCCGGGTCAGAAAGGGATTGGGCCGAAGTGGTGGCCAGAGCAATCAGTTGGCTTGCTTTGGCATTGATCTTCTTGATGCCAAAGTCAAAATCCGCTGGGTCAAGAACGCCAAGGTCTGTAAGGGCTTGCATTGATAAAACCAGGGGCGCTGATGCAGTAGTGTCCATGATTGCTTTGAACAATGTGGGTCCATCCCCTTGTCCAAGAGCTGGCATGCTGCCGTTCAAACCAAAAAGTTGAAGTAGTAGTGCAGGAGAAAGGCTGCTTTGAATGCATTTGAAAAGCCAGCTAGAGTTTTGTCTAGCTCGAGGATCCGTTCTGAGAGTAGCTTGACTCACAACATCAGTCATCAGAATGGAGTGATAGTCTGTTAGGCGGTTCTTGCCACCAAAATATAGAATGCCCGTGGGTCCTGCAACATCCATGTAAGTGTCGCTGCAGGGCCTGTATCCAGATCATAATCTCTGCTTTGTCGCCTGTAATTTCAATTGGGAGTTTAGCAGATGCCTTGTCTGCGGCGGCGGCACCACTGCGAGAGCATAGGTCAACTGGTTGTCCGGAATCATGAAGGTTGTACACTGCAGTACGAGCAGGAGGTGCAGGTGGCGCTGCAGCTGCCGCAGCCGTTGCTGCTGCTGTTTGTCGTGCTTTGAGTTGTGCAAGGAACTGAACGCCTACCTGAGTCAGGGCAGCAGTCATGGTGGCGACTTGTGCATCTGTGTTGGCCATGGCTGTACGGATTGCACGGCTCGATCTGGTTTCGATCTTGAAGTGTTAGAGCGCAAAGGGGCTCAAGAAGAAGAGGAGCGAGGGGCTCAAAAAAGGAGCGATGATGGCTCAAAAAGGAACGATTCGGAGAGGAAGATCTTTGTTACAAATTGTTGGGCTCAACAAACCTGTGATCTATTCGATGTTTTGATGGATTTAGTTTAAATATTGTGTGTAAAGCTTTCGTTGTGAAAAGCAGATTGTCATTGTCGTTTTCAAAAGGTTGTTGTTTGTTTGAAAATATTCAAACGGCCAGGGCCAACGATCAACATTTGTAATTGACTCAAAAGCTCACCTTACTTGGATTAAAGATCGATTCAAGCGATTCAATGATATGACTCTCGAAGGTGATAAATCTCTCAACCGCCTGCCTGCATACGCTCGGCGTGAATTGATTGCTGTGAAGCTCGAAGAATTGCATTTGTGTCAAGCAACTCATCTTTGTCGTCACTCTAGTCTGCTCCTACTGTCTTAACAATCAACTGTTGGTGGTTCTGCTGTGTTGAATTTGAAGCATTGGCGGCGGTGGTATGCTGTAACAAGTTTTGGGATGGCGGCACAGAAGAGTCTTGAGATGGCAGTGCAGAGGAGTATTGGCTACTTCTTCTCTTTTCATTGTAGCGACGATGTTTCCTCCGTTGTCTTTCATTCCTCTCTTCTCCTGTCAAGGGAGGACTTGCCCGTTTTTCTTTGTATCTCTGTCGACGCCACCGCTTCTTTTTGGCGCTGTCTAGCTTGTTTCAAGCCATCACTAATACGCGGAGCAAACAATGTTAGACTAGAATAGTTGGCATCTGCCATTGAATGCTATTGGAATGCTTCCATCCCATTGCCTCCGAGGTACGGAAAGCTTCTTTTGTTTGTCTTTTGCTCCCACAAAACATTAAGTTCTTGTTTTTTTGCACCGCAGCGCCAAATTCAAATCAAGAAAGTTTTGGATTTAAGTAGTCGGATGTGTCGAATCTGGACTCTACCCAGAGACAGACGAATATCAGGCACATATGGATAAGATTGCGGCAGAGATTGCAAGATTGGAACATGAAGCTCTTTTGACAAAGCTCAAGGCCGAGCAAGCTCTCTTGGAGAAAGATGCCTTCCTGACAGGCCAACCATCTTGAAAGTCACCGTCCAAGAGAAAAAAAAAGACCCAATCTACGCCCAAGAAACCGACACCAATTGCCCGTAAGAAAAACCCTGTTAGAAGTAAGCAATCCACTGCCACCTGCAATCTACCTGTTCAATTGACTGCAATTTAGCTGTCCAGGTATTGCTGCCTTCTAAGTATATGAATTTACAGTATATAGAAGTATATAGATCTATCAGGGATCCTACTTTATCAACCAATTTACTCGTTGCTTGCATTGTATTATTAAAAGTGAGAACAGTCTGTCAACTTCTGACTTTGACTCTTTCTTCTCCAGCTCAGTGGAAATTCTCAGAATTCTCTCTACGTCAGTCTGATATGCTGCAAGTTCAATCTGTTGATCCGTTCACCTTCCACTGTAGTCGGTACTTTGATTAGTATCCAACTTTGGTTCTTGTTTGAATCTTGCTTTCTCACATCATCAACAAGATGATTTCCATAGAAATAAATTATCTTTTCTGACCTGCCACGCGCAATATTTTTAATCGTATCAGTCTTCATTTTTAGTCGTATCAGTCGACATCTTTTCTCTATCGTTGACGTGTATTCTCTTTTTCTCGTTTCTCCAAATATGTATATAAAAAATCCTAATATATCCAACAAATCCCACCAAAACATCCAACAAACAAGTAACTATTGGCAAGGAGCACAATACAATGAAGTCATTACCCAGAGCCACAGGGACGGACCGTCACGCTCCACCAACACCGGCTACAACCAACAACAATGGGAATAAAGACACCAGTCAGATCATCCTCCAGACCATCCTTCAGTCGACCAAGCCCATGATGAGACAGATGCAGGCTACGGCCGAACGTCTTGCACAAGTGACAGAACGACTTCAAGAAAAGGCGGCCAACCCATTACCTACTCTCAATGGGGAAGCTCAAACACACTGAAGGCCTTCAGTGATCCAATGCCCCCTCAAATTGGAGCCTGGATTGAGACAGAAAAGGGGATCCGTCGCTTGATGAAAGACAAACTGGCCAGAGGCATTGGCATCCCAAAAGGTGCTGAAGAAGGACTTTCCGCCCACATCCTTCATTGAAGTACATCGCTGCTCCACTGGGAGTATTTGTCGTACTTGATGGAACGCCTCAAAGACCATGGGACACCTGGATTGGACGATAGCCCCAGGCCTGTTTCTACCAAGGGGGAATCCGCCTCTCCCATCCCCAAGGACATGAAGGAGTTCACATGGCGCCCCCCCCCAACCTGTCCCTTGATGGATTATGGCACCAGCTACGTATTGCTAACCTGCACAAGGCATCTGACCAGTACCACGGGGAATCAGAGGCTATCTTTGCCGACGGACTACGACGCCTAGCTATACATTGGGGCAACTACATGGACGAAGGCCCAGATGCCAGGAGACTACAACTTTTATGGTGGGAGTTTTGTGAAGTTGAACATTTGTGATATCGAACACGGATGGGAGTACGGTTCAAGTACGTACAGAGATGGATAAGTATTGAAGGTAGATCTAGATCTGTGACTAGTTTGTAAAGAACATGTGCGTATGTGCTCTATACGCCGCGACAGCTGGTGAGAGCTGACGCAGATGGCTTCCGGAAGAGATTTTTTGTACCTGCTTGTGGAGATCATTGTTGATCGACTTCGGGCAAGAATAGCAGTAGAATAAGATCTAATAGGAAGTGGTGAGACTGTCCATCCGCAGGTAGAAGCCCAGCATCACTGGCACCTGTTCCTATTGTAGGCAATCCATAGTCAACGTAGATTCAAGCTCAGTACACTCCAGAGGTAGCTAGAGCATTGAGGCTCTCATTACAGCTATGGAGTTGATTATCTGACAGTCGATCAACAAAGATAATTTTTGAACATTGCAAAGTAGGAGGAACTACAGAGCAAGATGCCTGGTGGGAGAAACCAAGGCAGAGGCGGTCAAGGTGGCCGCGAAGAAAGATCTGCACAGCAGACTTGTCGAGGGTCTCATGGCAAGAAGGCCAATAGACCAAAGCAATACCATCCTCACAATACTGACTTTACTCATGGGCAGGTGACAATATACTTGCTTGAGGCTATTGCACTCAAGAGCTTGGACTACGCTCAAGATATGATCTGGAGTGTGAGAAATATGGCCCATGTGGACTTTGAGGCTTAAGAGGTACTCAGACGGTCTACAAGCCAGGAAAGAACGACTCCGCGGTCTTCAAACGTTTGAGACAGGTTCAACTTGATAGGAACTGGGAAAACATAAATGTCAAGATTGACAGGAGAGAGGTGATCTACACCACGAACCAATATACCGTGGCTACAATCATCACTATGCATTTCATCACTCAAGCAATGAGAGATAAGTTAAGCAATGACACTGATTGGTTGGACCTCAAGGAAGACCATGTGATGCTGTTGAGGCGTATAAAGACGTTCATGACCATCACAGATGAGACCGAGTGGCAACACTTTGGACTCATGGAATCTCTCAAGAGATTCACAAACTGCACTCAGAAGCAAAATGAGTCTGTGAACGATTACAGGAGGCAATTACAGGAGGCGGTTTGAAGCTCAAGCTGACCAAGTATTCAAAATCCTTGGCATCAATGTGGTGCATGTCTATGCGACCAAAACAATGGGGTACCTCGATCTGTACAATCCGGAGGACAATCCGGACGATACCAAGGCACTCCAAGAAAAGTTCAAGAAAGAAGTTCTGGAAACATTTAAAGCAAGTGCATTTTTCTACAACTGCGACAGGTCTCGCTTCCAAAGCATGTTGGACAAGGCGAACCAGACCTACGCCATGGAATTCAAGGACTATGATCAGAGAAACAATATCTCACTACGATTGACCAGGTCGCAAAAGCGCTGATCAAACATAAACTGGATAGAGATACCAAAGGAGTTATTGATGCACAATCTGAGTGTTGTGTTGCACATTGATCTTGTTTTTGTTAACAATTCATTTGGACTCACGACCATTGATGGAAGTGTGAGATACCGGTGCTACATACCCTTGGCTTCACGATCCAAAACGGCATTGTACGACGCAATTGATAAATGCTTTTGACTATATCATGAGTGCCTTTAGCGCTCAGAACAAACTCTCTGCAATCTAAATTCGTAATTGACTGTACAACACTTTCACAACAATAGTTCTCCTGTGTCTAGGTATACTTTGAGTGAAATTGTTCCTATTTGATTAATGTTTGGCTTGAATTGATGATTCAATCACAAAAGTGAGTTCGACGATTTTCCCTTGGAAAATCCCTTGTTTACAGAACTCGATTTGACTTCTACGGCAATTCTGTGTTGAATGCAGTACTTTGGGATATCTTGTATTATTCCCTACTGCATCGTACACAACATCAATATTCCACTTGTACAGGATCTTTTCCTGTTTGTGTGGATACAGATTGTCCGACAGACTTGCGTCCCGCATACTTGCGTCGAATCCCGACATCTTGCCCGATCAAAATTCCGATCGCACATATAAATATTATCGTCACTGCGTTATGATGTTGTTGTCTTACGAAGTAGTAGCTATGATAGACGGTAGACAGTATTGTAATCAAACGTATTCTTAAAAAGAGTGTTACCATCGTCAGATCGACGTGCTTCCCTGGAGGCCGATTTGTCCTTACTACTTACGAACTCTAGCGATCGTACACGTGCACCACAGCATGGTCGATCTCATATTCAATAGCACGGTCACCTTTATTTGGTTGAACAATTAATGTTGGGTCAAACACGAGCGAAAATTCCCAAAAGCGAGGCGACTTTTCGTCAGTAGTGATAACGCGTTGGGCCGTTGCGAGAGCAAACATCTCCTGTCTCCAAGCCTTCTTGTAGAGCCTGTGAAACGTTGACACCTTGAGGTTTGTGATGTAGGCAACAAGCGATCGTCCTTGCACTGCGCCATCCTCGGCGGTTTTGGAAGGAGGGGGATGCTTGCGTTGGCTCTTTGAAGTCGTGGGATCAGGCGGAATGTCCTTAGTTAACTCAATTGACAAAGGAGTGGTTGGATTTGGGCGAGTGTTGACCGTGACGTCCTGAACTTGGGGAACTGCAGATGGGAAGAGCGAGCGGCCTTTCATTGCGCCATCCTCGGCGGTTTCTCAAGGGTTTCGCTTGCTGCTGCGCTTGGGAGTCGTGATGGCAGGATTATCCTTTGTTAGAGCAATCGACGATTGAGTGGTCCAATTTGATCGGGTTTTTGCCTCAAGACCTCCCTGACCTTGGTCAGCTACAGCCATGATCAAATTCGGATCCTTCTCCGGCGGGTTGACGATGTCATCCTTCATGTTAAAGTAAATTTCTTTCCTGTTTCAGCAACAACAACTGTTTTCCTTTACGTAGAAAACGCGTAGGACTGGTACAGTTTTGTTTTGGTGCTGTGCATGGAAAACAATCTTCTATTTTTTAGTTTTTGATTTTTGATTTCTGAGTTTTATGATCCGGACGATACCAAGGCACTCCAAGAAACGTTCAAGAAAGAAGTTCTGGAAACATTTAAAGCAAGTGCATTTTTCTACAACTGCGACAGGTCTCGCTTCCAAAGCATGTTGGACAAGGCGAACCAGACCTACGCCATGGAATTCAAGGACTACGATCAGAGAAACGAATATCCGACTACGATTGATCAGGTTGCAAAAGCGCTGATCAAACATAAGCCGGACAATCAAAAGAAAGGTCCAACGACACCGAGACATACTCCAAGACCAAACACTGCAAGCGGCAGTGCCCCTGACGGAGTGAGCAACGCACAAGCGAATGCTCGAACGACATCTTCACGACGGCTTTTAGTTGCTGGTGTTGCGGAGATACTGGCCATGGGGTCACCCGTTGTCCCGAACGCTCCACGCGCCCACAAGCGGAATGGAGCGACCCAGGGCGATACAGCGACGCACCCACTACTACTACTTCAAGACGAGCGAGGAGAGCCAATCTCAAAGTCCCTACGGCTGCATCTGCGGCGCAGTCGGATGCCGCGTCTAGCGTTACGGGAATGCAATCAACTGGTCAACAACATCGAAGCAATATGCAACGAGCTGTTGTTGACAGGAGTGGAGATGGCACTTCTGGTACTACTGATGTACCCGGCTCTTATGTGGTACGAGGCAGATCTGTTGCTGATGGACAATCTAATGGTAGAATTACAGGATGGAACCTTGCACGAGTACGTGTAAGACCGATTCTGAAGAAGAAAGCAGTCTCCACTGAAGACAGAGGAGAGTTGCTAATGAAGAAATGGCAAGCACAACTAGAAGCTGCCAGTACTTTCAAGGACGATGACAGCATGGTCAGCGATGGAAGCTTGAACATGCAGATCTACAAGTCGACATTGAAGATGGATTCATTGAAGCACTGTTCTCAATGGACCAAAGACAACAAGAAACCTTTCAAGTCCAATGGAAGTAAGCACTGGGATATCGATCTTGGTGTGCATCTTGATTCTGGATCTACGTTCAGCCTACGAATGAACGAAGATTACGCCAAACCGGGCACTGTGTCTGGCCTGGATTACATGTTCAACTACAGTACAAACACTGGCCAACATGATCTGCATCAGCAGGTCGAATCAAGTATTATCGAAGGACACACTTGCTTGCTTGATACTGAAGCGCAATGTAACCTCGATAGTTTATCCGAGCTTGTGAAGCTTGGATTCCGTGTCGTTATGGACACTGATATTGAAAACTCCTTCATCGTTACGAAGGGGGAACAGTAGAATAAGATCTAATAGGAAGTGGTGAGACTGTTCATCTGCAGGTAGAAGCCTAGCATCACTGGCACCTGTTCCTATTGCAGGCAATCCATAGCCGACGTAGATTCGAGCTCAGTATACTCCAGAGGTAGCTAGAGCGTTGAGGCTCTCATTACAGCTACGGAGTTGATTATCCAACAAATGAGATATGTGCATCGAAACGGATTGTATACTTTTGTACCCGATGGTAGGGCAGAAAGTGATGAGGGATCCGAATACTCTGAGTGTGAATACAGAGAATGCGGAAATTGTGACTGCGACGCGATTGGTGTCGCACACACTAAATGCCATAAATGTGGTGTTATTTTCTGTGGTAGAATTTTAAAAATTAGCTATCCCGATTCCGATTATTGTGGCATACAGACGGTACGGGAGAATACCGAAGGCTTCACTGATAAACAAGTTGAGCGGGCTAATCGCGCACGATCAGTGTATCATATGGCTGGTGCACCAGGCGTGCAAGCGTTTCGTATTGCAGTAAGATCTGGTTTGTTCAAGAACTGCAATGTGAATGAAGAAGATGCAATCATTGCTGAGAAGATATATGGACCTGGTTCTTTGGTCCTAAAGGGAAAGACGAAGCGTTTCACACCTGAAGGAGTGCGGGATGACTGGATAGAGATACCAAAGGAGTTATTAATGCACAATCTGAGTGTTGTGTTGCACATTGATCTTGTTTTTGTTAACAATTCATTCGGACTCACGACCATTGATGGGAGTGTGAGATACCGGTGCTACCAACCCTTGGCTTCACGATCGAAAACGGCATTGTATGACGCAATCGATAAATGCTTTCGACTATATAATGCACGTAATTTCACAGTGCAAAAGATTTATTACGATGTGGAGTTCCGTCCGGTATTTGAGCCCGTGAAAGATGAACTTGACGTTCATATGAACTACGCCAGCAGAGGCGAACATGATCCGAAAGCGGAACGAAATAACCAACATTTAAAAGCACTGTTTCGGGTTCACTTTCACCAAATGCCATTCAAGGCGATTCCAAAGAAGTTGACTGTGGCACTTATGACAAGAGTCGCAAAAAATATCCAACTACTATCCGGCAAAAGGTGGGTTGTCTGAATACTACAGCCCGCATATGATTATGCATCAACGAATGGTTGATGCCTCTAAAGAATTTGTTGCTGAGATTGGTGCATATGTCCATGGATATGGCCATGATACCAAGAATAATATGGCTGCTCGAACGATCGAAGGTGTTTACATGGGACCCACCGACGATATTCAAGAAGGGCACCGTATATATGATCTGAACACAAAGTGCGAGGCACGACGTGCGAAGATCAAGGTTCTTCCGATGACTGACCAAGTCATCAAGATTATTGAAGAAGACGCAAGATTGGAAGGAGTGACGGAATTACGCACCTATTCCAAGCGTAATGGCGAGCTATCCTCGATGGTGATTTGCTCGAAGGAGTGGACCCAGATGAACTGTGGGATGAAAACTACGTACCAGTAAACGAAATCGAGAGACTGAGTGATGTAACCCTCCGAAATGAAAATATTCCAGATGACAAACTTATATTCCGAAAAAACAAAAATACAAAAGCAACACGCATATCCGGGTCCTACAAACATCACTTTCGGTACTTTGCCTACACGATTTTTCTGTAGCGAAACGAAACTCGCTCCTCCTTTTTGCATCAAAACTGACAATGGGAAAGTCGAAGAACAACAAGAAAGTGGCAATCGCTGCTAAAACTGTTAATTCTACTGCTCTTACTCAGGGTCGCATCAGTTTTCTCGCAAAAAAGCCGAGTCGAAACCGCCAAAATTTGATCAAAAAAGGAATCCGACGATTTGGACCCTTCAATCGTCCACAACAACAGCAACGCCGAGATGGAGGAGGTCGAGAATTCACTGAAGTACGATCGCATTGTCCAGAACATGATTCATCTCAGTGGAACCTGCAAACCCTTGCCTATTTATGCACAATCCACCGTGCTTGTGGTCGACGCAACAATAAAAAAGAAGTGGTCTTTGGAAACGAGCTGTTCTCGGCATGGGAGAACGAGCCCGATATCCACTGGCCTTGGTGCGAAGGGTATTCCGAAAATTTCGTAGATCCTCCGGCGACTGAATCCTGGGAGGCGGCTGCCAAAAAACTGCTCCAGATTTGTGATGGGGATTGGAACTTGGTCGAGCAACGCATTCGAGCGGCTCTCGACCGAGACATCAAGGACGAATTTATTGGAAACGATTGGGAGCTAGTCGTATATATCCGAGGATTAACTCTCGGTCTGGCGGTCCAGGACCCTTTGGTGATTTTTCCTTTGGACGAGCCTTTGGAGGACACTACGTTTTTTAATCGGTATTGGGATTTTACTTCAGAGGTCAAGCCCCGTTTACTATTGGACCTACGCCCTCTGGCCAAAGTATGGGCCATCGCGGTTGAACTCCTCGGGCACCCGTGGACCGACCCTGAAACGACGACGGTAGTAACGGAATTATCTGAGCGTCGCTCAGCAGCCAAGGGCCGAAAACGCGAGCGCGATCTGGATCCATCAACTGAAAGGAAATCCGCTCCCATTGACCCTCGCTCTCCTGCGCGAGGGTTCTTTCCGGATGCCACTCCAAAACCAGTTCGCGACTCTGTTGCCCCCGATAAGGATGATTCGGTGATGATGGACACAACGGGTCCATCGGTAATTAGCCCCACCAATAAACCAGTCAACGGCGAGTTTGCTTATTGGTCCGACAACGATGGGTCGGAGTCCGTTGAGTCGGCTCCAGACTTTTCTGCACCATCGAATTCGGACCAACCTCCTACTGAAGTGGTTGTGGGGAAGTCACCTGCCCCAGCTCAGCGGGCCAACGACCCCTCGGCAACAGTATTGATCGACTCTCACTTGTCGAAGACTGAGCCTCCCAACCCTCCTCGACCTTCAGCTCCTCTGTCCGTGAAGAAGCAACTCACTTATGTTGCCGCCTCACAGAAGAAGGCTGCTATTCGGACCAAGTACCTCTCTGAAGAAATGAAAGCCCGTGAAGTGACACAGATGAATTTGACTGGGCTCCCGCGCTCGAACGCCCAGTTCCTCTGCGCTACAATCAACTATGAATCGGATGGCGACACATCTGAGGGTGGGTCTATTGAAAAGTGTTTCACTAGAAGATAAAGATATCAATTTAAGGTAAACAAATACAACGCGATGAGTCGATGGGGAATTGACAAACAGTTGATGCGCTTGAGGCGCAAAGTTCCAACTGTTCTCATCCGACGACACGTCAGCTTATCTATTTTACTATTAAATACTACAAGACCCATAAGACTGCTAACGTAAGAATCGTATTGGTCCGAGTCATGAAACCTGTTCTTGATACAATTCTGTCACTGTGGGATGGCATAGGAGGAAATCGCTGCCCAGATACAACTGGAAACTCGCTCATTCTTACTCCTGATGGAACAACAGCAGTGCACAGCAACCATTCAGCAGATTTTCGTCATCTTTGAGCGAGTTGCTGTACAAGCAGTCACACTCCTCATTATTACTCCTCCATGTATCGTCTTTCAGCACTCTTTGGAGGAGGCATGCTGGTTTGTAGTTTTATCAATCATTGGGGGGGCCTTTGGGGGGGGGGGTATGTAATAGCACCGAATTTTTGCCGATTTGGCCAGAGGATAGTAGATTTCGCACAGGTGGGTAGGGTAGTATGGTAGCACTGATAAATTACAGTGTATTTTTATGCAACTATGACATGAAATACAAATTATAAGTTCAAAACTTTTACAAAACATGGGACAAAAATCAATGAATTTCGGTGCTCAAGAAGATCTCCATTGGATGATTCATTCGCGTACGGGGGTAGCGAAATGCTGACACCGGTTCCAAAGACCTCCAAACTCAGCTACCTGTTTCGAACGTGATATCACTCATCCCAGAATGTGAATTGGCATCGGCCTGTTGCGATGTCATCACGCGACCATCCCCAATATTCATTGTTGCCGCTTGGCCTCCGGTCGTCATCGCATTTCCATAATGCTTTCGCGTACTGCCGCCCGCATAAACATGACATCGTTGGAGCGCTTCATACAGAGGCCTTGCAGCAGGCGGGGTAGGGATTTCACCTGACAAAATGTCAGCCCCGCTTACTCGCTTCCCATAGAATTTTTCCATGACTCTGTGTCTAACCTTATAATCCAGCCCAAAACATTGAGCAATGATTTCGATGGCAAGGCTCTTCACTCGGTTCTGGCCTTACCTTAATAATCTTCCCATCCACAGAGATTCCAGCATACAACCCTTTTGACAAACTATATGTGTAAATCGGTGCGAATGTACCCGGGCCAGCTCCTACATCTGCTTCGAGTGCTCGGCCGAGAGGTCCGATGGCAACGCCAATGTCCAAACCTAGCTGAAAATTTTCCTTATTGCTAAACATGAGCTCCACTGCAGCATCAGTCATCAGCAAGAAGACATGGTCACAGACTTGGGCTCCAACCAAGGCTGAATGAAAGAAGAAATATTTAGCGGCAGCCTTCCTTTGACTATCATTAGAAAAATTCAATGTCTTCTGGATGTGTCTTCTCCTTACCTCCCCAGCTAATCCCTGCCATACCAATGGCACAAGGAGCACTCCATTGGTTATTCCCTATTCGGGCCACTGCTAGTCCAGTTCCGAACTCCATTCCAGCTAGACCGAATCCCCCTTTTATGACAGTCACCACTGCGACTCCCTTCGCCTGTTGCAAGAGGCGAGCAGGAATCTTTACACCGTCTAATCCGGCGAGGTTCGGACTGATTGTGGCGCAGTCATCTTTGCACTGTTGCGCCCCCCTGGCTTCTCCAGCCAAAAACGAATCAGTGTCGACGAATCTTCCTAATTTCTTAGAAGTCGGAAGCAAATTGTTCAATGTATAGGCTGCTTTGCGAACTTCGTGACCCAAAGTGAATGCAAGCGGGCTATTGAAAAATCGTTTTGGATGCGTGGGGTCAATGTGGTTGAATCGCATAAAATTGGCATTTATCTGGAGCTCTTTTTGTCTTGGGAGTAGCTCATTGTGACAGGTTTGGCACACTATATGAAGAAAGCGAAAAAAGAAATTGGTTAGTGCAGTTTGCGTGCGAATAGATTGAAATTCTTCGGCTTTAAAATGTGGTCTAAGCATCAAAACATCCAAGTAAGCATTGTACCTTTCAGCATTTCTCTTGCCAAAAGGAACCGCTCTTTTATGAAAAGGGACAAATAATTGGTTAGGACAGTTTGCTTACAAATTCAATGGAAATTCTTTAGCTTGAAACTTTGGCCTGGGAGCCTCAGTATCCAGGGATGATTGTACCTTCAAGGCCTTTGCCATGCAAAAGCTGTTGGTCCTCGTCAATGTAGGTCAACATCCGATCCGGATCTGGATCCGGTGAGAAAGAGATCGCATCATTATTCTGTGGCCCCGCTTTTTTTCCTGCTAGAGGACTCAACACAATACTCGAGGGTGGGATGAGCGCTCTTTGACTCGTACACCGGTTGCAGAAAATCTTGCCACAGAGTCTGCAATGGTGTCTCCGATTGATGAGATTGAACTCATTCCCACAAGCTGTGCAGCACTTCTGGAAAGAGTCGAATTCCCAAGGATTTGACAACGCGGCAACACTTTGTTCCTTGCGATTCTCTGTTGGCCCAATCAGTAAATGGGGAGGGTCGATCGTCCCATCCGTTGAGGCCGTGGGGGGGTCTTTCACTACAGTCGGTGTTGCCATGCTCTCGCTACAGGATATTCGAATTCTTGCGGTTCTACCATTACTGGTACGGTTCTGTTTCCCATCTGTTTCCGATCTGTTTCCGATCTGTTGTTTCAGTCACACGAGTCGCCTCAAGTTCCGGTATGAGCCATTCAATCACAGCTCTCTATCACAAATGATAGATTCGACTAACTCTCTTCCATACTAAATTAGTACTCTCCACAGACTTCAAATGATGTTAGGGGGATTAGGTCCAAGCTCCATACGGCCATAGCAGTTTCTCTTGTCTTATCAAACAACTAAACACCTTGTCTAAAGGACCAACCTTAGCCCTTGATCATGAGGAAGCGCTGTAGATCCCCTAGGATCACTTCTAGCTGCCATGAGAATGGGGTGGTAGGTTGGCAACTGAAATTAACTGGTACTACATGAGGTAATAGATAGATCCAACGATAAAAGCTGACTTTTCAATCTTGCAGATAGATTACTACCTTGTATTGTCGAGTATCGTTCAGTCTTCCTCTCTGATGGCAGATTGAAATCAACTGCTGATACCGATAGGTAGGTAGTAGGTAGTAAGTAGTAGTCATTGTCTCAAATGGGTGCAAAAAGGTTGATTGTATTGCCGTCAGAGTAGAATGTACAATTCCCGAATCTGAAAGCATCATATATGACTATACTGTATCAGACTTTCCTATCGCGGCTTTGGCCAACAAGGAACCATAAAAGGTTTCTGTCTATGTTTTCGCCTTTCAATCTTACTCAAAACCAGTTGATTAGTGCATGCCTTCAATCGTAGAAGACGTATATTTACTCTCTTTGCGATGAAATTGGGATTTGTGGTGGCCCTTACTCATCTTGCTTGGTTCCCTAAATATTGAGTCCATTGAGGACACCACCGATTATCTATCGAATCCAATACTGGCTGGGTATCGCAAGCCTCGCATAAGTAAGCGTTTCAATAGTATCATAGCAATAATATCAGCTGCTAGAGTCGAGCGCCAAACTTTTCTGGTTTCTGCCTTTTCACAGCACGGCGCTTAACAGCTTTCAAAACTCGATCACGCTTTCTCAGAGTGTAGGGAACCCACCACGCGAAGGCAGGCTCTGACACAAGCTTGTTTGCAACAGCATATTCAGCGACCTCGATAGGAAACGCTTCTTTTGCTACTGATAGATCAAGCCA